GGAGACTAAACAGCATGCTATTAAACAAGGACTGGGTTACCAGAGAAATCAAGGAAGAAATTAAAAACATCCTGGCAACAAACGACAATGAAAACACAACAATCCAAAATCTATGGGACACAGCAAACGCAGTTTTGAGAGGGAAGTTCATATCCTTACAAGCCTATTGCAAAAAACTAGAAAAAATGGTAACAGATGATCTAACTCTACAACTCAAAGAGTTAGAAAAGGAGCAACAAGAAAAGCCCAGTGTAGGCAGAAGGAAGGAAAGAACAAAAATCAGAGCACAGATAAACGACATAGAGACCAAAGAAACAATACATAAGATCAACCAAACCAAGAGCTGGTTCTTTGAAAGAATAAACAAGATAGATGAACCTCTAGCCAGGCTAACTAAGAAACAAAGAGAGAGGACCCAAATAAACAAAATCAGAAATGAAAGAGGTGAAATAACAACAGACCCCAACGAAATACAACGGATTGTTACAAAATACTACGAACAACTCTATTCCAACAAACTGAACAACCTGGAGGAAATGGACATATTCCTAGAAAAATACAAACTTCCAAAACTCGATCAGGAAGAATCTAAAAATCTCAATAGACCAGTGACTTGGGAAGAAATTGAAACAGTCATCAGAAAGCTTCCAGCAAACAAAAGCCCAGGGCCAGATGGCTTCACAGGAGAGTTTTACCAAACATTCAAGGAAGAACTAAAACCTATCCTCCTCAGACTTTTCCAAAAAATTCAAGAGGAAGGAACACTTCCAAACTCCTTCTATGAAGCCAGCATCACCCTAATACCAAAACCAGATAAAGACAACTCAATGAAAGAGAATTACAGGCCAATATCCCTCATGAACATAGATGCCAAAATCCTCAACAAAATCCTAGCAAATCGGCTCCAGCAGAGCATCACAAAGATCATACACCATGACCAAGTAGGATTTATTCCAGGAATGCAAGGATGGTACAATATCCGCAAATCAATAAACGTGATACATCACATAAACAAATTGAAAGATAAAAATCATATAGTCATATCAATTGATGCAGAAAAAGCATTCGATAAAATCCAACACCCTTTCCTGATAAAAACTCTTAACAAAGTGGGAGTACAAGGATCATACCTCAACATAATAAAAGCTATATATGATAAACCCACAGCCAACATTATACTCAATGGGCAAAAACTAAAACCATTCCCTCTAAGAACAGGAACAAGACAGGGATGCCCACTTTCGCCACTCCTGTTTGACATAGTACTGGAAGTACTAGCCATTGCAATTAGACAAGAGGACGAAATAAAAGGCATCCAAATTGGAAAAGAAGAAGTAAAGTTATCCTTATTTGCAGATGACATGATATTGTACCTAAAGAACCCAAAAGACTCCATTAAGAAACTAATTGACTTAATAAATGAATTTGGCAATGTAGCAGGATACAAAATTAACGCCAAAAAATCCATGGCATTTCTATACACCAACAGTGAAACTACAGAAACAGAGACTAAAAAAGCAATTCCATTTACCATCGCACCAAAAAAATTAAGATACCTAGGAATAAATTTAACTAAGGAAGTAAAAGATCTATATGCAGAAAATTACACGACATTGAAAAAAGAGATAGAGGATGATGTAAGGAGATGGAAGAACATACCATGTTCATGGATTGGTAGAATCAACATCATCAAAATGTCCATACTTCCTAAAGCAATCTATAGGTTCAATGCACTCCCCATTAAAATACCAAGGGCATATTTCACTGACCTAGAAAGAACTCTCCAACAGTTCATTTGGAACAATAAAAGACCCCGAATAGCCACAGCAATCCTGAGAAAGAAGTGTAAAGTAGGAGGGATCTCAATACCGGACTTCAAACTGTATTACAAAGCCACTGTTCTCAAAACAGCCTGGTACTGGCACAAGAACAGACATATAGATCAATGGAATAGAATCGAGAACCCAGATATCAACCCAAATCAATATGCTCAATTAATATTTGACAAAGGAGGAAAGAATATACAATGGAGTCAAGACAGTTTCTTCAATAAATGGTGTTGGGAAAATTGGGTAGACACATGCAAAAGAATGAAACTAGATCACCAACTTACACCATACACAAAAATAAACTCAAAATGGATACAGGACTTAAACATCAGACGGGAAACCATAAAAATACTAGAAGCATCCTCAGGCAGCAAAATCTCAGACGTATGCCAAAAGAACTTCTTCACTGATACTGCCCCTAGGGCAATGGAAGCTAAAGAGAAAATAAACAAATGGGACTACATCAAAATAAAAAGCTTTTTTACAGCAAAAGAAACCATCAACAAAACAACAAGAAAGCCCACGGTGTGGGAGAACATATTTGCAAATAACACCACTGATAAAGGTTTAATCTCTAACATCTACAGACAGCTGATACAACTAAATAAAAGGAAGATGAATGATCCAATTAAGAAATGGGCAAGGGACCTAAATAGAATATTTTCAAAAGAAGACAGAAGGAAGGCCAAAAGGCACATGAAAACATGCTCAAAGTCACTAATTATACGAGAGATGCAAATCAAAACAACAATGCGGTACCATCTCACACCTGTCAGAATGGCCAACATCAACAAATCGACAAACGACAAGTGTTGGCGAGGTTGCGGAGAAAAAGGAACCCTCGTGCACTGCTGGTGGGAATGCAGACTGGTGCAACCACTGTGGAGAACAGTGTGGAGTTTCCTCAAAAAACTGAAAATGGAACTCCCATTTGACCCAGTAATCCCACTCCTAGGAATATATCCCAAGAAACTAGAAACACCAATCAGAAAGGATATATGCACCCCTATGTTCATAGCAGCACAATCTACAATAGCCAGAATTTGGAAACAGCCTAGGTGCCCGTCAGCAGATGATTGGATCCAAAAACTATGGTACATCTACACAATGGAATACTATGCTGCCATAAAGAAGAAGGAATTCTCATCATTTGCAGCAACCTGGATGGAATTGGAGAACATCATGCTGAGTGAAATAAGCCAATCAATGAAAGAGAAACACCACATGACCTCACTCATTTGTGGATAATAAAGAGCATTATAAACTGATGAACCAAAAGATAGATATAGAGACAGTAAAGCAACAAGCAGATTGTCAAATTACAGCGGGGAGGGGAGGAGGATCTGGGGGAGATAATAGATCAACCGAAGGACTTGTATACATGCATATAAGTACAACCAATGGACATAAAACTATGGGGAGGGAGGGGATATGGGGGAGGGAGGGAGGGGGGCAAAAAAAAAATCATTAAAATATGTAAAAAAAATAAATAAATAAATTAAATAAATAAATAAATAAATAAAACAAAAAAATAATAAAAAAATAAAATAAAATAAAAAAAAATAATAATAAAAATAAAAAAAAATAAAAAAAAATAAAACAATAAAGGAAGAAAAAAAAAATCAAACATTAGAGGTTTATTTTTTGTATGGAAAAATCATGAAATTTTATGGTTGCCTTTATTACTTAATTTTCCACATTTTATTTGTTCCTTGTTGTACATTTTGGAGATGCAGCAAAAGTTTGACAGACAAAGAGAAATAGGACTTAACATGTGTCCTCAGTAAGCAGCTGCTCAATAAGATAATATTTCCAGTTACTGGCTTAGAAAGCAAGATTCTGAGATTACTGCTGGACGTAGGCCTCTGACTTGTCAACCAAAAAAGTTACTTCCTCTTCAGTATAATGAATTGCAGAAGTACAGTTAAACAGTTGTCTTTGAGGGTTTATTAGCAGGCATCGGATATGGTGGGTGAGCAGATACTGATTTTTTTTTTCCGCCAGTGACCAAAATATTTACGAATTTCATAAAATGGAAAGAACTTTCTAAAAAATTAATAAGATCTGTTTCACAAGTAAGCAATTCAACTGGAACAGTGAATAGTAGAAATGATAAAGATTTGTTCTTATGGTTCATAAAAAATTTATATCAGGGCATTCAAGTAAAGTTATTTTCTGTGTTCTGATTTAATGAATCATGTGAGGTGTATCTGGTTGGGTGACACAAATGCTTGCTCAGTGAACCCTACCCTAATGTTTCCCAGCACAGCCTTCCTTGGGACAGTAAATCCACAATAACATGTCTGACTAAAGTAATATAAGAGAAAGAGAAAGCAGCACTGGAGAGGCTGTGAGGCAGGCTCATAACATTTCTTGACCTGTGAGTGTCCAGTATGTATTCAATGTCCTATGGGCTTGAATGATCTAACAAGTACCAAAAGCAACAGTAATGCAGTAATGAATGGTCTTCAAAAAAGACTTTTGCAATTCAAGCTGAAAAACACACACTTACTAGATGGATTTAACCCTGCTGAAAGACATCCTAAGAAACCACTAGTGATTTCTTTAACCCTTTGTATGCCGTAGACACAAGGATGGTTTCCGTTTTGGAAGCATAGTAGTTAATTGGTTACGGGTGAGTGAATATTAAATGTTTTATATATGCTTGTGTAGTATCTATTTTAGTTCCTTTAAATATTTGATTTTAAAGATATACATTAATTTTGAAAATGAAACTTTTATTATACTATTGATGATAAAATATGTTGAAGAAAAATGAAATAGCATTAGATATTTTGATTACAAATGTAGATTTAAAATAATGTGGTCCATTTATTTTTAATAAAATACACTGTTAAAAATGAAACTAAAGGAACCTCTGCATATATCCCACATACGGATGCTTTTCTCTTTCAAAAGATAAGTTATTTGCAAAGAAAAAGGCCATCAGGAAAAAAGACAGTTAAAATATAGAAAATGATTACAACTTATCAAAACATAGTATATCACTTTACATAAAAGTTATTTTATTATAAAGGAAATAAAAATAAGACACAAAATAGAGGTACAACATTTTCTAAGGATGTGTACAAAATCAATGAACAACTCTGTTTTTCCCTAATCAATGTTCTTTTTATTTAGTATTTAGTTAAAATCTGAAAGAGTACTTACAATGACAGCAACACCATAGCAATTAAGGTCCATTCTGCAGGTTTGTGTATAATATTTCTATTTGTTAATCTGAAAGATAGTAAGATAAAATTTACCAAAGGATTGTTATATTTTTCTATTTATGGAAAAGTCAGAAATATGACATCCTGTGTCAAAGAGCACTATTTTTTTTTTATTCTTGTTCAACTTGATAGGAGTCAATCCTATATAATAAAATGCAAATATGCAAATTGTTCCTTTGATCAGGAGTTCAATTGGGAGTTCGACCAGCGAGCAGAGCTGGCTGGCCAACTGCCCACAGCTCCTCCCTCCCGCCAGCCTGGCCAGACTCCACCCATGTACAAATTCATACACTGGGCCTCTAGTAGCATAATAATATAGCTTGATATTCACTATCTAATAATGACCATCTCAAAAGAAAATATTCCAGTCCTACAATTATGTATTTATAACAATAATACTATTACACATAATGGAAATAAAGGAACAACATGGGAAACTAAATGGCAGGGTTTATTAAAATACACACATCCCTATAACCATATGCTTTATGTTTTCCGTAATCAAACGTTTTATTAAAGCTACAAGGTAAACAATTTTTTATTTTAATTTTAATTCATCTTTTGTGCCTTTCTATCTCATGCTAGGTTGCCAGTAGTCAATTAAGGGATGTCATACTCCATAATATACAGAAATGAGCACTCACTTAATACATTTTAAGGCAAGGTTTCTATTAAAAAAAACCTTAAGTTTTAAAAAATCAGCAGTAAATTCTACCACTTAGCAGTTGATGACAACAAAATGTTATAATTACCTTAGTTTCTCAGGAAGCATTTAAAAAGATTGCTCTAAATAAAAAATAGTATCAATCAATCAGGAAAAAACAGCCAATAATACCTGATAAAAGGATGTTATCCAAAATATACAAAGAATGCTTAAAATGTAACAAGAAAACAAACAGCCCAATTAAAAAAATGGGCCAAACACCTTAATAGACACTTCACCAAAGATAAACAAATGACAAATGGCTCCGTATTATATGCCATCAGAGAAATGCAATTTAAAACAAGTTAACACTATATACCCATTAGAATGGCTAAAATCCTAAACATTGACAAAACCAAATGCTGATAAGCATGTGGAGCAAAAGGAACTCTCATACATTGCTGGGGGGAATGCAAATGGTGCAGCCACTTTGGAAAACAGATTGGATGATTCTCACCAAGTAAACATACTTCTACCATATGATACAGCAATCACGCTCCTTGGTATTTACTCAAAGACGTAAAAAAATCATGTCTGTACAAAAATCTACACACAACATTTACACAAGTTCTATTCATAATTGCCAAAACTTGGAGATAACCAAGAGACTTTCAGTAGGTGAATGAATAAATTGTGGTATATCTAGACAAGGAAACATTATTCAGCTGTGATAAAGAAGTGAGTTATCAAACCAAGAAAAGACATGGAGGTACTTTATATGCATATTACCATAGTGAAAGAAGCCACTCTGAAAAGGCTACATACTGTATGATTCTAATTATACCACATTCTTGAAAAAGGTAAAACCATCAAGATAATAAAAAGATCAGTAGTTGCCTTGGGGGAGAAAGGGATGGGGAGTGGGTTAAAGAGGGATAGATGAATAGGTGGAATTCAGAATTTTTAGGGCAGTGAAAATACTTTATGGTACTATAATGATTGATACATGTCATCATACATTTGTCCAAACCCATAGAATATACAAAATCACTAGGTGATAATGATGTTGTCAATTTAGATTTACCAACTGTAGGAATGTTGATAATAAGGTATACATCTAAATAAAATGTTACAAAATACTATATCATCCATTAATTCTGAGTAGAGAATATGTATATCTTTGACAATCTGAATATTTTTTCAATAGTTAAAATGTTTTACAAAATTTTAAAAATTCTAGATGATATAAAAAATACAGTACAGTGGCTAAAAGGTTTGACAGACATGGACTCAGTACTCATATCAATCACTTAGTAGTGTTTTACCCTGGTCACACTCAACAGCTGTAAAACTTTTTTTTTAATTTAGTAAAATAGAAAAAATGTACTACCTATCCCAGGTTTTTTTTTTTGTTTTTTTTTTATGAGGATTAAGTGTACAAAAGACGTCCACGTTGCAAAATTCAACTGACATCTCTGAGTCCTCTTACTTTATCAGCAGCATTTGACACAGTTATCACTCCCTTCTCCTTGGAACACTTTCTTCAGTTGGTTTCCAATTGCCTGATTTCCCTCTCTCTCACTAGCATTCTCTCCCAGACCTCTTTTTAAAAAATATATATATTATTTTTATTGATTTCAGAGAGGAAAACAGAGGGAGATAGAGATAGAAACATCAATGATGAGAGAGAATCATTGATTGGCTGCCTCCTGCACCCCCTACAATGAGGTCACGTGCCCTGAATGCCTTCCCAGACCTTTTAATTTTGGTTTGCCCAGGGTCTCTGCCCTGGGGTCTCTGTTCTCCTCTATATATGCTCATTCCCTTAGTGATGCCATTTAATCTCAAAGCTTTAAATATTAAATAACTATGTGCTATACTGAAACAAATGTTGTATTTATTTCTTAAACATCTTCCTATAATCTATTATAAAGTTGAAATTAAATATAGAGAATGTTTTCACAGTTTTTTAACTCAAAATTTGTTAATCATTTTTAATACTAATTTGTGTTTTTTTTTGTTTTTTTTTGTTTTTTTTTTTAAGAAAAAGGGATTTCAGGACAGGCAGTACCTTCTTTTAAAATTTATCAACAAAGAACCATTAACTGCACAGTTGCTGTTAGCTGCCTGTTCTAAAACAAGTCTTTTTATTGAAACACAAATAAACTTTTCTGTAATATTTTATGGAATATAAAGAGACTTCAATTGTTTGACTTATTTAACGTGGCACTGTTAGTTTTTATTAATAAAACGCACATGGACGTTTAAAAACAAACAAAGAAAAACTATGTGCTGACAATTCTCAAATTTATTATCTCCAGCCTGGGCCTTTTCCTTGAATTCCAGACTTCTGTATTTAATGGTCTACTTGACATTTCCACTTGAATGTAAAATAGGCTTCTCTAAACATAATACAGCCCAGACCGAATTCCTCATTTTCCCCCTACAAACTGGTCCTTCTGCAGACAGCTCCATCCCAGTAAATAGCTGCCCAATCCAGTTGCTCAAGTCAAAATTCTCGTGCTTAAACTTGTCTCCCTTCATGTCCTATGTCAAATAAGCCATCAAGTTCTGATGGTTCTATCTTCAAAAAGAATCCGATTACTTATTACCTCCACTCCTTTCATCTTGGTCCATATCATCTCTTGTTTAGATGACCAAAACAGCATCCTAAAAGGTCTTTCTGCCTCTGCCCATCTATTTTAATTCTGAAGTTATCAGCCAGAGTGCTGCTGTATGTATCATTCCTCTGTTCCAAATCCACCAACTGTTCTCCATCTCAGAGTAAAAGTAAAAGAATGACCATGGCTACAAGGTCTGTATAATCTGTACCATACCCACTCCCATCCTATATTTGTTTGACTGTATCTCTTTGTAGCTTTGCCTCTGCTCATTTCTCCAGCCTCATCAGCATCCTTAATGTTCTGTGAATACACCAGGCCTGCTCCTGCTCCTGCTCCAGAGCCTTTGTACCTTCTGTTTCTGATCTGACGTATTTTCATAGATAGTAGCATGGTTTGCTCTTTCACCACCTCTTAGATCTTAATACAAATGGCATCTTCTCAATGAGGTATTCCCTGACCAACCTATTTAAAATGACTTCTTCCCTCGTCAGTACTATCCCCTTTTCCTTCTTAGGGGAAAGGGAGGAGAATGAACTGGGAAAGGGGATAGGACATATCACCACATAATAATAATATACATAGTGTTTTTAAAAATTTACATATCCTTTTTATTAGAATAGTTCCATGAGAGAAGGAACTTTTGTGTTTTGTTCACTGCTTCATTGGTAGCAAAACAGAATCTAGCACATAACCATAAAAGGTTAAAGAATAAGCATGTGAGGGGGGGGGGGGAAGGCAAATACAGTTAAGTAGAATCCAAACATCTAAAATTAAAACAAATTTAAGATTTAATGAATTTCTTTATTCATTCAGCAAAAATGTATTGTGTACCTGCTTTATCTAATCTACTCCATTTCAGGCACCAAGGAAAGCATGACAAGATCTTTGCTTTCACTTTAAATACTTCAAGTGGCAGACTCAAAAATTTTATTTGCTCTCATATTTTTCCTTTTACTAAGTCAAAATAATTTCAAGCACAGACGCTAAGTAAATGTATTTATTATTGTCTGAGTAATAATTTCAATATGAAAATAGGAATATTTGATATAATGCATTTAAAAAGCACGGTTTCAAAATATAATTTAAAATTCAATACAAACATTAGGAAAAAGGCTTGATTTATCACTGATGAGATTTAAAAATAACTTTTGTGTCAAAATGTAATTTTAATTCAAATTTGACTTAGAAAAGTCTCTTGAGTCAACACGGAGGACAGTGAACTATTACTGAACAATTTCAGATGGAACTACTATGACAGGTAAATCAATATAACATTCCGGATAAATGACTGTGATGCAATTCAGTGGAAAGGACAGCTCTAGTCACTGGGGAAAGATTCTTCAAAGAGCTGAAAAAGCTGCTTGATGTTTAAGTTATAACAGGCTTTCAAGTTTGGCTGCACATAGGAATCACCTAAGGGGCTTTAAAAGAAAATACTAATGTTCAGGCGTCGAATAGGAGGATACTGCATGGACATGCTTCCAGGAACAAGCTGGAATTACAACTGAAATATGGAAAGGCTTCCAAATAATCAATAGAAAATTCAAAAGAGAGAACTCTGATACTCAAGGATTGAAGGTGGAGACCACATAGAGACTGGTAGGAGGGCGGGTGGAAAGGGCTGGCTGGGCACCCACAGACAGCAGCTGAAGTCCCGGAGAGCTATCTTAGCTGTGGGAGGAGGAGAGGTGCCACTGAGAACTCTGGGATCTAATCCCCAAGCTGGGCTCCCCATCAGAG